TTCAAAGTTGCTCCTCCCTTCTAGAACTGAGACTTCAGTGTAGCTCATTTAGGTCATTTTTAAAACTAGTTTGGGCTGTGAGTTAAATAACAGTAACAGTTTCTCTTGGCAGCAAAGATAAAGGTTTAATGACAAAGCTATGAACCACTGCAAAAAATATTTGATGGGAAATTTGGATGAAATTCAGATACTCAGAGGTTCAGAAAGGCTGTCATTAATTGGCCCCAGTAAGCCAGCACTTACCTTGGAAAAAAGTAGCTGCCCCTTATTTCCTCCGGATTTGTTTTTCCAAGGTGTGTGGGCCCTCCAGTGTTGGAATGAGGCTACCTTGCTTGATGTAATGGTTGACTGGAGGTCTTGTGACCTACCAGTGTTTTGTTTGTTTTTGTTATTGAAAATAGAAAAAAAGAACCAATCCTCTTTCTTCTTTTGGGGTAGAACCCAGCGAACAAGGGACTTAACAGTTGCAGCCAGTAACTGCTCCTTAATAGGTCACTTTATTAAATCATGGGAAATAACTGGTTTTTAAGAATTTGTTGCCCTCTCCCTCTTTATTTTGGAGGCCTGGAAACTGGGGGTGCCTTTGTTGCTTCATTGGCACTCCCAGAGTGGCTATAAGTGGGACGTCTTACTTGGGATTTCCACTTTCATATGTTGGCATGGCAAAGGCTCCACAATGCCTTGTTCGTGCCTGCTCTCCCTTGTTACACAGATGTGCCTCATGAATGATAGGCCTTGGCACAGAGGAGGCCGTGTTTATCTGCCCTCCCAGGAGTACCCCCTAATGTCATCAGTGTTTTTTCACCCTCCCTTTCCTTGCCGTATAAGGGCAGAAGTTTAGTTTGGCTGTAGTTGCCTGGTCTTACACAGCAAGTTGAGTGACATCCTGTCCATAGCTGCAGTTTACATGAAGTAAAAAGACGACCTTTGATCCTCCCATGCTGCAGTCTGTTTCAGGCAGGACTTTGCAAACATATTCCCCAGGATTGGTTTTTAAGGCAATATTATTTCCCTGCCTGTATATCTTCTGAATTGCCTTAACTTTTAAGTAAAAGCTGTTGCTGTTTTTAAGGGTTTTTTTGGTTGTATTGGTTAATACATCTGGATGTCATGAAAATCTTAGGTCTCATAAATTCTTTTTCTTTTCCAGATCTGATACAGAGTAATATTTCACTAAATTGGGATGGGCATGCCCTGAGTTCTTTGTAGTACCTTGTTGGGGTGAGGGGCTGGTATGTATGGCCGAGTTTTCTGTGTAGGCTACCAGGCCCTTGTTAGGGATGGGGTGAAGGGTGGTAGTGCTAAGGATGCCCGTGACTTCAGTGTAAGTAACTAGTAGCTGGAGGCAGGGACGGCATGCATCTCTGAGAGTCCTCAGGTTTGGAGCACTGGGTGGTAGTTTACCCATGGATCTGTAGGAAGGCCTCAGTAAGTAGCTTTACTAATGTAGCAGTCTCTGAGTAGATCATTCCACTTTGGACAGCATAGCACTTTTGAAATGTAAGAAACAAAGCATCCCAAACTGAAAGACTTCCTGGGCAGTATTGACACAACAACCCTTGGTAGAAGAATGCTAGCTCAGTTTGCAAAGAATGATTTACATTCCTGGAAATAATTTTTTTCTGAGGTCTTGACCCTCCGCAAATGCCTTGTTACCGACGTCTGCTTTTAAATAACAGGTGGCCATTTGGTCGTGGGCTTGGAATGGCAGGGCAACAGCGGGTCTTCCAACTGCCTAGGTGGTATGATGAAGAGTCTTAGAAAACACCTTAGAGAAGCCTCCAAAGTGAGAAACAACATCCAGAAATAAAGCTAGTAGAGGTACCTTGGGAAGAGAGTGCATAATAAGTCAGGGGGAAGAAGTTAAAATGAAAAGAACATGCCTTGATTAAATTATGAAGTTAAACTTTTTGATTTGAAGGAACTGAACAGAATGTCTGTTAGACCAGTCTAACAGGGCCCAGGAAGCCAGCAGAGTTGGGGCTGCCCCAGGGGAGCTTGGGTGAAGATAGAGGAGCCTCGGGCCCTGCTCTGAATCCTGGGCCAGTCAGCATTGAGTTCTGGACTAGAGAGCAAACACCCCACATCCTTATGTGAGCGAGCTGCTCCTCCTTAGTGTTCATTTTCCATTTTATACCCTGCCTTATTTCAAAAAGGTTTGAAATGAAAGACATTTAGTGGCTGATCTTCTCGCGCGAACTGTCTTCCTGCTCAGGGCCTCTGCTCAGGCTCTTGGGGTGCAGTGGGAGCCGGTGGTAGAGAACTCCTACTCTGATGTGAGACGGGAGAGAGACCTCAGGGTGACACCACCAACTCCAAAGCTTCCCTGATGTTCCGGGACATCAAGAGGAGGGTGGCAAGAGCCAGCACCCCGGGAGCCAGGGTGCACATGGCATGCTGAGGCAGAGACCCCTCCCTCCACTGAGTTTTTGCAGAGAGCAGAATGGGCTGCCCCTCAAGACTGAGAGTCTCCAGAGTGGTGGTGGAAGGGTGGAGGGTTGCTTATTTATAGCAGATTCCTGCTCTCCCCCTCTGACCTCCTGAATCAGACTCTCCAGGGACAGGGCCTGGAAGCTTGTATTTTTAATAGGTACTGCCTAATTGATTCTGACACTCAGCCAGAGACTCTTTCAGCTTAAAACACAAACCCAAAAGAGACCCTATTTTGCAGACTTACAGTGGCTCCTTGGGAAGGGCAGCACCTCTCTGTGCACCAGTTCTGACTTTGTCCCCCAGTCCGCATTCCCAGTCTTTCCATGGGTGCTCTGTAGGAGGCCCTGTTGGCCAGTACTTTTCAGGGAAATAACCTATAATGTCAGGGAGTCCAGGGTTTTACAGAATGCTCCTGAAGGAAGACAAGTGCCATATGCAAAACAGCATTTGACAGAGCAGTGCCAAAAATTAAGGGGAGAAGGGTTAGGGGCAGCCAGGGCAGTGAGAGGTTCAGGTGGATTGATTGGGGTGAACAGAGGTGGGAATGAACAGAGCGCCGTCTGTTCCTGTGTGGGGGCCAGGTACGTGGGGACCTAGCGACATAGACTCAACTGTTGCCCAGAAGTTTCTCCAGAGTGTAAACAACTGTCCTTCTGTACAAAGTCCTTGAGGTTTGGGTCTATATATAAAATGGAGCCAGGAACTAGTTTGTCACCATTTGTCTGATAGCCCGTAGCATTTACAATGTTATAAAAAAAAAAAAAAGGAGGGAAAGTACTTCTGAATACGTGACTGAGATACTCTGCGGAGGTTTATTTGTTCTTCATTTTTGTTTCAGTTTTCAGGATTGCTTGCTTATCCCCTACCCTAGTGATGGTGAACCTTTTAGAGGTTTCAAAGATACAAACCGCCCTCTGCAGCATGTGTGCCATAGGTTCGCCACCCCTGCCCTTCCCTTGTTCATAAAAGGAATAGAATTTAACTAGAAATGGAAAATCAGGAAAAGTGAAGATATCTCAACTGAACCAGAGTATTCCTTTAATATAGTCACCTTTATAGTTTTTCTTTTTAATAGGGCTGAAGATTTTTAAAAGGCAGTTACCTGCACGTAAGAAATTTGTTATCCCTGTGACCTTCACCCTTCAGAAAAACAATTCCAAATCCATAGTCACCTGCCAGGCACTCCTAGCTAGGCCCAGTTACTAGCTATCTGGTGAGAACGGTTGACTTTTGGGGCTGCTTGGGCAGTGGTTTACTAGCAGATGCTCCTTGGATTCTTTTCACATTTACAGGGCTCCTTGCCTCCATCAGCCAGTTGCTCTGCAGTAGTTTTGTAGAGATAAAAGTGTATGTGTTTTCTGTATCTTTCAGCATGGCTGAAGATGCCCCATTCACCTCTCTTCCCAGGATAAAATTTGGCACTTAAAATCTTACCAGTCCAGATAAGCACAAAACTGAATGTTCTCCTTTTCCTTTATTTCGAGGCTGTGACTACAACCTCTCTCTAATTGTGTGTGCATTGTAGTCTGTGTCATGGGTCCATGAAGTACGAAAATTATTTCTGTTTAAATTAGATTGCTTTCACTTACTTGGTTGAGTAGACATTTATTGGGCCCGTAGTCTGCAGAAGACTGATTTTCTGAATGTCAACAGCTTAGAGTTAGGTAAGGAGGACAGAGATGTATGTAGAGAACTATCATGGGTGTCCAAGTATGTCTTGGGATGTTTTGAAAGCTCCCAAGTGTCCTGAAAACCCACCACCACTTGATAAGCACACATCCAAGTGGATGAGGACAAATAAATGGTTCCTAATTAGTAAATTCCATCCCTTAGAGCAGCATGCAGGCCAGTGTCGCAGTATTCTCAGATATATAGTAATCGATGCTTATAGCAGGAAGTAGTCATTGTATTTCCAAGAAAAACATTTTATTGCAAGTAAATCAGTGTCAGTGTAGCTTTTCTCCTTAGGAGTTTGATACATTTCTGGTAGCAACCTTGACTTGTAAGAAATTCCAGTAGACTTAAGTCAAACACACTTGGGAAATTTGTCCTGGCCTTGTTCCAGGGTGACCAGTTAGTTATTCAACAGAGGTTACCAAAAAGGCAGGACAGGGGTGGGGGTTGTCCTGGGTTGTATTGAGTCTCCATATGGTACATATTTTAAAACCACTGAATTTTAAACTATTCAGTTCCTTTATAATTGAGACAGTGGCTCAGAGAAGGAGTTGAATGACAACTCCAGATTCTGAGTTGGGACTGTAGTGCTATTGTTGCACGTGGCTGAGCCTGGGTAAGTCCCGCTGTCTGTGCACATCTCAGGCTCCCAGGGAGCAGGTGGCTATGAGGTGGGTCTCCCAGGTCTGCTCCTGGTCCATCTGTCCAATGAGAGTTGCATGCTTAAGTTTCCAAGTGCAGTGTTCTCTGTGTAAATCCCTCCCTCACTCTGTCATTGACTAGCGCCTATAATGCGCTTGAAGGTAGCTCACCGCCAGGCCCAGACCTGCTGTCTGAAGGTGCCCCCTCGCTGTCTCCCCAGCTCTGAGGTGCCTCTCATTCTCTCTGCCTAGGCTGAAGCCGACGTAGCCTCTCTGAACAGACGCATCCAGCTGGTTGAGGAGGAGCTGGATCGTGCTCAGGAGCGCCTGGCCACAGCTTTGCAGAAGCTGGAGGAGGCTGAGAAGGCAGCAGATGAGAGTGAGAGGTGAGGCCACCTCGACCAGCCCTCGAAGCACAAGCCTCCCCTCCTGGTTCGGTGCATGGAGGTTTGAGAATTTCACAGCCCTCAGCGAGATCTTCTCCTCCGCTGACCCCATGTATGGTTTGGTTAGTGTTGAGTGTTTAACAGCAGAGCACCTACTGCGGCAAAGCACACAGTACTAAGCCCCAGAGTTATACAGAAGAGAAGGTTCCTGCCCTAACCGAGCTCACTGCCAACAAGAGAGATAGGCACTACTCAGTGGTTCTTTCATTCTTATTGACCAAAGAGCAATTGTGCTTTTAAATAATAACAACTACTTTATTTAAAAATAAGCCTAGAAACTGTAGGCTGTCATTTGTCAGGTGAGGGGGCCTTAGATAGAACAGAAATAAGTTCTGCAGAAGTAAATTGTTTTGGACTGGGACTTAGTACAGATACGACACATGCACACATAGTAATACAGTCAAGTGCTGTTTGTCTCTACTGAGACTTAGCTCTACCAGACTTACTACCCTGAGACCCAGCTTCATGGTAGTAAGGGGAAACCATGGTCCCTATAGTCTGGCAGCACTCATATAATGTGCTCAGCTCTTGAAGCTTCTGTGTTTCTGAAGTGTATTCGAAGCATCCAGAAAGACTCCCTGAGATGAGAGGGTTCTGCTGTAGGGTCGGCATAGCAGGCCAGGGCTCAGAACACTGCATGTGGATCTACCTGTGCTGGGACCTGGGCAGGTGAATGCAGTCGGTCATCTTGTCCACTTTTCCATCTTCAGAGTGAGCCTCTGCTCCCTGCCACCACGTATAGAGTGGCTTCAGGCCTTAGGATTAAAGAAGCTTTTTAATTAAAGTTTTCAGCCCATGCCTAACTGCTGCTTAGCCTTTCTTCACTAACCAAGTGCTTTGGGCTCCTTTAAGATGACTGGTCCTCTCTTACAGTATATTCATAGCATTATTGTTGTGGCCAACTTCTTCCAGGAGTATTTCTGTTAAGTGAACCTTAAAAGCAGTCTTGTAATGTTAGATTGTGAGATAAATATTTCTTCCTGAAAGATTTCTGTTCCATGAACCTTAAAAGCAGTCTCCCAGTGGTATATCATAAGGTAGAAATCATTTGCTCCAGTCCCCTGGTTTCACAAGTGAGAAAACTAGAGCTTAGAGACTGACATCTCCTGCCCAAAGGCTGACAGTATGTTTGTGGTAGGGCCAGGACTAGGACTCAGGTCTCCTAAAATAAATTCTAGTGCTTTATCAAAAACTACTGGTTTATTAATCTTATCGCCTAGTTAAATTTGGTTGAATCAAGGGCCGGGATTTAGCTCAGTGGCCCCGCACCTGCCTCACAAGTGTAAGGTCCTAAGTTCAATCCCCAGTACCAAAAAATTGGTTGAATCTAAATTTCATTTTCTTTTTTTTATAGCAAAACATTTATTGGTACATTTTAGGCATACATAACAATGACACTCATCATAGGGAATTTGCATTCCACCCGCCCCTCAAGCCCCCTCTCCTCCCTATGTACAAAAGCTTTGTTTCCATTTTTTCCTTCTGTTTTCACTTTTTCTCTTGTCCCTTCCTTCCTTTCTCCCTCCCCCCTCCCTTGTTCCCCTTCCCATTTGAACATTTTCTTCCCATTTCCCAACATCTATTATATATTTTAGTCCTTATTTCCACTATTGGTTTCTCACACCAGAGAAACAATGCAGTATATAAACATGTGCATCAGATTTATTTCACTTAAGAGTATGGTCTCAAGGTGCATCCATTTAGCTATAAATGTCTGAAGGTCATCCTTCCTTATGGCACTAGTACTCCATTGTAAAAAAAAAAAACATCATCTTTATCCACATGTCAGTTGATGGGCATTTGGGCTATTTCCAAGATTTAGCTATTACAAACTGTACCACTATAAACATGGATGTGCATATATCAATGTGGCATGATGCTTTTAATTCTTTCAGGAAGATCTCAAGAAGAGGAATCGCTGGGTCAAATGAAACCTCTAGTTTTAGTTTTTTGAGGAATCTCTACACTGATTTCTATGGTGGTTGCACCAGTTTACACTCCCACCAACAGTGAAGAAGGGTTCCTTTCTCCCCAGAGCTCTGCCAGCATTTGTTTTTGGTTGATTTCTTTTTCGTTTGGTTTTGTTTTTGGTTTTTGTGGGGTTTTTTGTTTGTTTTATTTTTTGGCAGTACTGGGGATCAAACTCAGGACCTTGTGCTTGAGAGGCAGGTGCAGAGCCACTGAGCTAAATCCCCAGCCCTATTGGTGGATTTTTTGATAGCAGCCATTCTTTCTGGAATGAGATCAATAAATATAAAACATTATAGTAACAGAGCCAAGGACAAAAACCGTATGATCCTCTCAATAGATGCAGAAAAAGCTTTTGACAAGGTCTAACACCTGTTCATGATAAAAACCCTACAGAAAACTGGTATGGTCTTTATCTGAATCTGCTAAAAGCCATCTATGACAAACCAAGATTTCATTTTAACATGACTTGTTAGTCCATAAATCTATAAAACATCACAGATGAATTAATATTTTATGAAATGTAACATTGTGCTATAGGATCCATTGTGCACCTGAGTGTAAAAGACAGCATTGCTCCTGTCTCCCAACACCTCTATTCGGAGAGGATTTGATTACAGGCAAAAACTTGGTTTCTTAGCGAAAGAGCTCAATTGAATCTGTGCACCCATTTTTACAGGTCTGAAATGGTCAGTACCAGCAGTTTCCTGTGGGTTGGTGCAGTGTTTTTGCTAGTAGTTAATGGGGAAAGAACCTTCTTTGTAGAAAGAGGTACATGAAGATAAATTTGCTTTTGTTATAGCTTTGCTGCATTTTGAAGCTGAGACTTCTTCCCTCAGGAAATTACCAAGTCCATTGTGTGTTTAACAAATGGAGTGTGTCGGCTTCCGTGTCTCCATGCCTCCCAGATTAAACAGGACCCTGACATTGTACCTTTCGTTTAACATTAGGCGCCTGGACAGTTTCACCAGTACTCGAAGTGTGAGGTTTCATTCATAATGAACAGAGAGAAAAGTGGGTCTTATGTGTGCCTTAGCTCTGGAAAGTCTTGCTTCATCGTTCGGAAAATAAAAGTAGCTCTGTGCTCTTCTGGTCTGCCACATGCCACGAGCCTCACAGACCGCGTATGAGTTTGGGGCGGTCACCTCTACATCTTGGGTTTTCCTGCTTGTGTTTCTTTTCCAGAGGAATGAAAGTCATTGAAAGCCGAGCCCAGAAGGATGAAGAAAAGATGGAAATTCAAGAGATCCAACTGAAAGAGGCCAAACACATTGCTGAAGATGCCGACCGCAAGTATGAAGAGGTCAGATTCTGGGGCCCAGAATCTTGGGGATTCCCAGCAGTGGCCTTTGGGGAGCAGCATACAGCCTTGATTCTTGAGTGAAGCAGTCTGCTTCCTTGGTAGAAATGAGTGGTTTTGAGAAGCAAAATCCCTTTGTCTCCAGAACATGGTTCTCCATTTGATCCTGCTGGAGAACCCCAGGCTTTGTCACGAAGCTAATCAACAGCACTGGGGAGAAGGATCAAAACTCCCCACCCCACCCCAAAAGACCAGCAGGAAAGAGCCTTGGGCCCTTGGGAAAGGAGGTTCATGCTGTCGTAGTGCAAGTTATTCTTCCCAGTGTCCTTCCCTGGGAGGGCCACACAGCTGCTCAGTAGATTCACGGAGGCCTTTCCTCCAGGGTGTCGGAAACCCACGGCCAACACAGCTGCTCGGGTGGATCAGTTCCTGCTCATGTCCACATGAAAACCACCAGGGAGCTAAATGTGGTGGTCCAAGGCTGTAATTCTAGCTACTCAGGAGGCTGAGGCAGGAGGAGTCCAAGTTCAAGGCCAGCCTGGGCAAGTCAGCAAGACCTTGTTCCCAAATTTAAAAAGGGGGCTGGAAATGGAGCTCAGAGGTTGAGTGCCACTGCACTGCAAGACCACAAAAAAGAAAACCACCAGTGTCAGCAGGCCTGACATGACTACTGAAGTTTTAGTTTTTTTCTTTTTTGTATTTTGTCAGGGCTTCCCGCCCTTCCCCTTTGACTATCTCCAGATTATGTCCCCACTGGCTTTGAACTGCTTCCGAGGATCCTGTAGTCTCCTGGGTTCTTTCTCCACTGAACCCAGATTTGACATTGTTAGTCCTTTTACCACCTGATCACACATCAACTTCTCCCACCTTTTATTGGCCTCCACAAGAAGGATGCTGGCATGCAGGAGATCTTAGTTTTCTTTTCAGTGGGGATTTTTGGGGTCTTTTGGTACCAGGGATCGAGCTCGGGACCTTGCACTTGCAAGGAAGGCAACAGAACCACTTAGCTAAATCCCCGGCCCTCAGTGGGGTTGTTTTGTTCTGTTTTGTGTTTTTTTGGTGGTCTCCACCTTTTCAATATAAAATGTGTCTTGTCAAATCCTGCTGTTTTTGAGAATGCAGTTGTCATGTCTCTCCCTCATTCCATTCTTTGGCTGCTATGTAACTATACAAACGCAGCTGGGTCAGACTGTTGGGACCCTGCACCGTAGCTGTCCATTCTGGGTCTTGTAGGTGAAGCCTGTGGCCTGCTCCCACCTGCACCCCTAAGGGGGAGTCTGCCGGGATGAAGAGTGTCCGTTTGTAGGTGGAAACCTTGGGGGGACTGATGCACCTAATCCCCCCGACCCCCGCAGCCTCCTGTTCAAAACACGCAAGCCCCACCGAGTCCGTGTCCTTGCTTTTCCTGCTGCAGGTGGCCCGTAAGCTGGTCATCATTGAGAGTGACCTGGAACGCGCAGAGGAGAGAGCCGAGCTCTCAGAAGGGTAAGCGGGCCGGTGACAGGAGGCCACGTGTGGGGTCCTGCGGAGCAGTGACTAAACAGCATGACCATCTGGCAGCTGCACATTTACCTGTCTCAGCTCCGGGCTCCTCTTATGCTCATTTGTTGCGGATGAGCCGCGAGTATGGAACACAGAGACTCATGTGGGGTGTCTGTGTGTGAATGTGTGTCACTGCATGCCTTACCTGCACACTGATTTTGTGAATGGCCTTGTGCATTTCCTGTGTCCACTAACAGCCAAGTTCGACAGCTGGAAGAACAATTAAGAATAATGGATCAGACCTTGAAAGCATTAATGGCTGCAGAGGATAAGGTACTGATGGCTCACGTGTGGTTTTAGGTTTAACCGCAACCCAGGCATCTCTCAGCTTCCAATGCCTACTGGTTGGTTTGGTGTAACGACTGCACCTTCACTACACCCTTGGCTATCTATATCTTGCTTTAAGTGCTTTCTCTTGGTCCTTTATGCTCCTTTGTTTTCCCTTCGTAAGTGCTCTCTGGGGTGGCCGAATAAGAAGCCAAATTATCACTCTTCAGCGATGTTGGATTTTGTCACCCTGCCTTTCCGTGTCTCGAGGCTGGAGGGCAGTGTCCACAGTGAAACCGACATTTCCAGAACTGATGGTTTGGCTCCTTTAAGGCAGCCCTTCATCTGCAGGACTTGGTTCTCACTTTTTCCCATCCTCCTTTTTCTCTCCTCCTTCCTTTGGCTTGTCTCCCACCCTTTCTGCCTCTGATCGAAAACATTAGCAAATGTGCCGAGCTTGAAGAAGAATTGAAAACTGTGACGAACAACTTGAAGTCACTGGAGGCTCAGGCTGAGAAGGTAGGCCCAGAGCACAGCATGGGGAAGTCACTTTGTAAGGCCTGCTCGGAAGAGGCCGTGCCAACGAAACTAGCAGCACAGTCGGCAATTTGAGTAAAGGGCAGCGTTTGGAGAGGCCTTCCTGATGATGGCTGGATAACAGTTTCTGAATTTTCAAACTAGACAATGTATTTTATGGTGGGTATGTGAGTTGCCAATTTAATCTCAACCAAGTGCCGAGGGGATAAGTTGTCTCGTTCTTATCCCATGTAAAACAATAGGCAAGAAAGCAGAGAATGCATAGTCATTGCCATTTGATACTAGAGGCTCTGTTACTTGTAGGAGAGCCTTAACATCTGTTAGTGGAGCTGGCACGTTCTTTTGTGTTAGAAGTTGTGTGGACAGTGAGCCACAGCCTGACATCTGGAACGCTCTTTCTAATTACAGTACTCGCAGAAGGAAGACAAATATGAGGAAGAGATCAAGGTCCTTTCTGACAAACTGAAGGAGGTAATCTAATGAGCATTTTAGATGAAGCAAACTCGATTTTAATTAAATTTCTGTCCTGGAGCTGGCCAGGGCTCTTATTATTTTAAAGTCACTAAACCGAAGTCAAGGATATTCTGAGATAGTCTGGGAGAAAATACGCTGTTAGCTGCCATTGCTGATGGTAGTGACTAACTGAAAGGTCGTTTCAGTCCCATTTCATGGGTAACCTGCTTGAGTTTCGTTCTCTAGCTTTCCCTATTTTTTGTTTTTCAATTTTTTTTTTGGGGGGGGGGATGGTACTAGAAATTGAACCCAAGGCCTTCACGCTTGCCAGGCAGGTGCTAGGCCCCTGATTTACATTCCTGGCCCCTTTCCCTCTATTATAGCTACTGGAACTGTGAAACTTCCCAACTTTGACTCAAATAAATTAAATCATTGCAGGCTGAGACTCGGGCTGAGTTTGCGGAGAGGTCAGTAACTAAATTGGAGAAAAGCATTGATGACTTAGAAGGTAAGATCTTAAATTTAGTTCAGTCCTAATAGTTGCATACTGACCTGGAAAAACGATCATCAATTCCATTGCATCCACCTCAGCGAACATCTGCTCTCTCACACTCTCTTCCCGACTGTCCTCTGGGGTTTTCACCTGTGGCTCTTAAACTCTTGGATCTGAAACCTCAGCCACCAGACAGCACCCGTCTCTGTAATGACAGTTGCCATGCAGCCTTCATTCATGCTCCTCAGCATTGTGGCAGGGTTGTTTTTCATTCTGAGCAAGGTGCTTTCTTCCCGGCAAGAATGGCTATGGTATATTTTGTGTCTTTAGCAGAACCTTCTTATTGTTAGAATGATGTGGATTTGATTTAGACACAGCCTGTCTTCTTCCAGGGGTGAATTCAGTGGAAGTGCTTGGGGTTTTTTAAGTCCTCCATTAATAAAACCTTTTATATCCTAAAAGGATGGGGAATAAGAATCAGTAGGCATTGTAGTTTGAGATTATGTTCACACATTTCTCCCCTAAGGCATCTGGGTTTTATTTGCCCACTCTTTCTCACAGTAATCCTAAATTATGAGCTCTGAGGCCTGTGAAGGGTTAGCTGGGGCAAAGAAAAACAAACTATGTGTCCCAGGCAGAAGGGACTGGAGGTTGTATGGATTATAACTAAGATAGCAGGGAAGAGAGAATGACAGATGGTTTCAAAACAATCTCCCCGTGCGCAGGAAAGTATGAAACCTACATCATTACAAAATACATTGCAGACTTCACCGCTACCACCATAAAAAGTGCGACTTTTTTCTTTTGGTACCGGGGATCAAACTCGGGACCTTGCGCTTGCAAGGCAGGCAGCAGCACCACTGAGCTAAATCTCTGGCCCGCAACTGTTTGTTTTTCAAGCTCCTTGGACCAGGAACATGCAGCCTGCGTAGGAAGACCAGGGGTGTCATTAAAATGACACTAAAAACAATCAGTATCTCGGTGTAGTTTGGTCACGAAGTCAGGGGTTTGAAAGTGGGGCTGGATAAGGGTTACAGGCTATAACCGCAAACTGCCCTTCCAGAACACTGCCGTTAGGTAGTTTTTCCATTGTTTATAGCTGCAGGTAGCTGACTGCTGTGGCATAATTAAAATCCAGTTCTGTAAAAGGAAAGATGTTCCATTACGTACCAGGAAAGACAGCCTCCTGTGGTTTTGTTTAGGACTTAACGTGGTTTACTGATATACCTACCGTATTTGCTATGATTTTCATGTTGAGTCTTTCACATTTTACTTTCTAATGGGTTTTGTTCTCTTTGTTTTTGTTTCAATTTATTTAAAATCAAAACGCACGCCTCCTGCTCGGGCCACCTGCTGCGGCACCAACCCCTCCATGCATTGCCCTTTCTTTGCTGCTGGGTCGGGGTGGCACCTGGGCCGCCCCACTCACCCTCCATCCCTTGGTCACTCTCCATGCCCTTGCACCTCTGCCTTCCACTTCCTGGTCATAGACGAGCTGTATGCTCAGAAACTGAAGTACAAGGCCATCAGCGAAGAGCTGGACCACGCTCTCAACGATATGACTTCCATGTAAATGTCCATGCACCCTGCCTGCTTGCATCCGCGCCCTCGTGCTTGTGTGATAAACGCCACCACCCCCTTCCTCTCGCGATCTCCATCCTGGTGCCTTTCTGTTTGCTTTCTCACATAACCTAGGATAGTGATTTTTTTTCACATTGTACTAATATAAAGGCCAAGCTAGACTAAGTCTGTACAAACCATTTGCCTTTCAGAACCCTTTAGTATTTCCTAAGTGCTGAACTAGATCGTTCCCCCTTAGCAATGACCTAGAATGTGAATGACCTTGAGCACTATTCTTTTAAGACATTAAACTAAGACTCCAGTAAAACCAGAAGGCTGTGCAGTAGTGCAGGAACTTCTAAGACATCAAAGTTGATTTCCTGAGGCTCTGAAGTACAACATGATCATTTTCATAAAAGAAAGGTAAATTAAAGGAAACCTAAAGTATCAGCTGATTGAGGAGCTGAGGAAAAGGAAGTCATCATGACCAAGCATAACCTAGAGAACACTTCCATAAACGGTCATCTTTTTCTCACTTGCAAGAATTCTGCAGGCAAGGGAGCCCTCTGCCGAGAAAGCCAGCCTTTAGTTGTCTGTGTCTACATCGCAAGGAATTACAATACTCACAGTAAACATTTTGGCCAGTAAAACACAATGCATACCATGTGAATTTGGGTGTTAATGGCCCGGACTCTCATGAGGCAGTCACAGCAGCAATAGCAGGTCACCTTGTTCTCATGAGAAAACTGTTACTCACACACAACTAATGTCCGTATTACTAACCAAGTGTGGGTGTTATCTTGTTAGCTCCTTTAATTCTAACCTGATACCACACTGGATTCTGGATTCTACACTAAACTGGATTCACACTAAAGCCAGAAGTGCCCCTTTCTGCTTTTTACCCATGAAGAAAAATAGTGGCTTCAAGGTGTGGCATTGTGCCTGCTGCCTTGGAGGTTATGGAATCCCCCCAAGGAAGGACAAAACCCTTAGAGACAGGACTGTCACCGTGGGAACTAGAGAGCAAGTGTCTCCTCCCTCATTTGTAAATGAGGGGTGGCTCCCAACATCTGTCTCTAAGGTATTCCCGGTGCTAAAATGGGATGATTTGATGTGGAAAATGAAATTTCAACATCCTAAAAGTGGGGCTCAGCTCCACATTTGTTTTTCAATTTTGCTTACGGCGTCTTCCTTGCGTTTGGCCACTGACAGCCTCGTGGGCCCGGCCCAGATGCTGGTGGTTGTGCGCTTGTGCCCCAGGATGGGCCTTCCCCGAGGGCGCGGCTGGCTGTGGGTTTTGCATGTCTGTTGCTTGCCTGGCTGTCAGTGCTGCCTTCATCTGTTAGTTTGGTTTTCCTTTTTTCCATTGTGCCACTTTTTTTTTCTTTATCTCCAACCTTTTGTCTTCGCGCAGATAAGTTTCTTTGCTTCACTTCTCCCAAGACTCCTTCATCAGGCTGGATGTCCCAACTCTCTGAGCTCTGCATTTGTCTCTTCTCCAGCTGATCCTGGTTCTTTCCTCTAGCACACGCCTTAGGGCCAGGCACATACTGTGCTTTCTATTGTATAGTCAGTTCCAGTGTAAAATAAACACTGTGTAAGCTGTTTCTGTTTGCTATTCTTTATATCTCTTATTTATTGATGTTTTCATTTCACCACTGAATAAAACCACAGTTCTGCTTCATGCATATCAAGGTTAATTTTTGACTTCCTCTTTGTTTTTTTCCCTTTTTCATTCTGAGCATCATACATTAATGTCAAGGTTTTGAATGCAGTAGTTCCTTCTGGAACTTTTAAAAATAATGCCCAGAGCCGGGGATTTAGCTCAGTGGTTCCGCCGACTACCTCGCAAGCACAAGGTCCCCAGTTTGATCCCCGGTACCAAAACAAAACGAAACAAAATAATGCCCATGTCTGCATCCCTCTGAGAGTTTTGGTTTCCAGAAGCTGTAGTGAGGCCCAGGCAGGCATCTGTGGTTTTTAGGAATTGTGAAGGCTCCAGCGGGCACAGGGGGCAGGGCTCGCTGGGAACCAGGAGATGTGGCTGAGCAGTATCTTCCTTTGCCTAGGTTTATATTGGGCTGTGTTGCTAGGTAGAGGACTCGGCTCATAAGGGATGACCACACAGCTCTCCAGCTATATTAGAAAAGGTAAAAAGAAGTTGGATTCAAATAGTGCAGTTTGTGGTTATTGTTAGTCATCCTTGTATAGCACAAAGATGAGTTCAAGCTTTTTTTTTTTTTAAGTATATTCATTACTTAGGCACCTACATGTTGATCATGAAAATGACCCCTTAGGTTTTCTAAATATAATTGCTGTGTTGGGTCATGGTTTATTTTTGTGCTTTTAAAGGATACCATGTATTCTTTAGGGAGGATTGTACCTATATAACCATTATGTTTAATAGGTGGTCTTTCCTCTTATTTGTGGGCATTTAAAAAATACAGCCATTACTGTTGATTCTTCCCCGCCGCCGCCACCAATAATCTTGGTGGAAACTATTCAGAATACAGTTGTTTTATTTGTACTTCATAACAGCAAGTGAGTGATTTTTCTTTTGTAACCGCAGAATTAGATAGAACATCAAAATCACCACATTTCTCCTTCCTAAACAGTCTGGCTCTATTTCTTCTGTATTTTAAATGTGGGAATCCCCATCTGCCTTGGGTATGGTGTGTGCTCACCCCAAACGGCTGATATACCACCATACTCCATTTGGATGGACTCTGAATGTAGTGTCAGTCTACAAAGTCTTAAGAGCAGAGACAAAATAGTTTTTTAAAAGAAGGCTATGAATTAAAGAATTTTAGTAATGCTGTGGTAGGCTTTTTAAAATTTAGAACCTGGATAATGTCTCTCCCTTGATTACAAAGCCTTCTGAAAATTAATGGTTGTGTTTTCCTCAGGGCCCTCAGGCCTGTTTTTGACCATGATTCCTTCCTTGTTCCTTTTTAAATTGAGAGCAATGGAGGTGACCCCTTCTCTGAGTAATCCTGTCCCAGACAGAATGATAACTCTGAAAGCTCTGCCGAGCAGAAGTCTGGTTAAGTGTGGAGGTGCAGCTGTTTCTGGGACTCCTTCCAGAGACTACACATGTTCTCTCTACGTATCCTGTCCAAAGGAAATGGGAAAGTAATAGATCAGCACGGCAAGTGTTGAATAACCTCAGGAGGATGAACAGCAAGTTGAGTTTATCGAGAAATTGTTGGGAGTTCAGGCTTCTTCTAGTCCAGAGAACCAAGCCATAGCTTCAGCTGCTGCCAGAGGCTCAGTTGGATCAAACCAGAAACATTGCTGACCCTGGACCCCAGAGACATCTGGGATTCTGTGTAGAACCAGAGGAAAGCACTTCCAAATATACAGAGGAACACATAGGCACACTAGCTGACGGAGAGCAGGCCCAGAGAAGGCTGAGGTAGGGACCATTGTCCCTTGTAAGCTGAATTAACACTAGCCCTCTGGGCTCCCTAGGGTTTCCCCAGAGTGCTCTGGTTCCTATTGGGGCAGACATTGGGCTCAGCAAACAGACATCCACCTACCCATGGTGGCTTTTTCCTGGGACAGTAATGTAAATGGAGTACCAGGGTTCAGGCTTTGCAACCCCCAAACATATGCACCATGACAGATACTAGGAGGCTGGGGCGGGGGGGTGATAGATGCACCGGAAGCCTCTGCCCCTCACAAGCTGGAAAGAGATGAGTGAAGTGATTTTGAACTGGTAGATATTGTGCAGTTTGAGCCAACAAGGAACAGGAAATAATTGGGACTGGGAGCCACCTGTAGGAGCTGTCAGTGACAAATACATGGAACAAATTCTGTGACTAGAATCATGGAAAGAATTAAGTTCATGAATCGAGGTACCACTGTATTCAGAAAATGTGGATGATCAAAGAGGAAAGGCAGCAGATGTTGAGCATAGCATGTCATAGTGAGTTAATAAACATAATGACTACAAAGTACTTTCCCCATCTACCATTTAAGAGAGAAGGTTCACAGGAGAACAGCTCAGTTTTCCAGTAGGCCTGGGGCTGTAATCGGCATGTTTTCCCCAGGTGGTAGGATGTTTAGCCTTCCCAGAACTTAAAGATTTCGAGGGTCTGGCCGTCAGTGCCGTTCAAAGCAGTCATGCACCCCAGCTGGTCTTGGTAGGTACCAGCCTCTTGTTTGTCATTAGATGTCCTCTGGATCTTCCTGTATAGACTGAGACTTGGGGTTGGCTTCCGTGCAACTTGAGCAGACTGCATGTCAGTATGGTAAATTTCTGTCATGCTGGTCTTAGTGTACATTCTTGAGGTTTTGTTCATGTAGGCACCTCCATGAGTAGCAAACGTGAATGCCATCCTCTTGAAGTAAACAGATAAATTGTAAATCAGTGTGGGTGAAGATAAGAAGATAAGCGCTTGTTCTTTTCCTGTTTGGATCAGGTAACACTCCGTCAAAGTTGGACAAGAATCCAGAATCTACCCTGACTCCTGGTGATCGGGGGAAGGACAGGGAGCTTAATTGTGTATTCTGAAAAATTTGTGCTGCAGAAGCAGTAGACCCAGTTGGTTCATGAGTGGGAAGCCTGCACCATGAGCAGAGAGGAAGGGGTTCTGGGCGAGTGGGCAGAAATGGGCTGGTCAAGGTCTCCCCTAGGATGCTGTAAGCCCTAGTGAGGGTGGCTGACAGGTGGGCTCGCCACCAGCCTGGCCTCTGTTCCCAGATCTGTGACCCAGAACTGCATGTGCACGTGACTTGGCTCGCAAGGTGGTTTTTAGTGAGGTACAAGAGGAACATTCACTCTTTCTCCTCTCCTGTGCCTCCCTTTCCCTTCCCATCAAGAGCAGAATTCTGCGCTTCCTTATTCAGCCAGGCCCTTTACCGTCCACCCTTGCAGGGCACAGGACAGATGGCCACGGGGTAAAGGTAGAATGCTTAGCACGGGGCCAGTTGCTGTCCTGCCCGAGGTACATCTCTGTGTGCTCTGTCAACTGCCTCTCACCATGTCTGGCTAACCTCTCTTCTTTCTGCCTCCTCTCCTCTGCTAACGTGCTTGCTGACCGGTATAGATCAACTCTACCAGCAACTTGAGCAAAACCGACGCCTAACTAATGAACTAAAGCTGGCCCTGAATGAGGATTAAAGCTTAAATGTGAAAACTAGGGCTGAATTCTAGGAATAAGAGCCCATGGCAGGACATCTAAGACTGTCCAACCTTCGACTACTAGGGTTGAAAGCCATTTGCTTTCTCCAAAAATTCAAATGAAAGGAATTGGCTGCAGGCTGTTCTGGCCTGTATTTCCCTCTCTGTAGCTGGAACAATTAAGTTCTCTTTAATATCAAACATCTTTTATGGTAAAATACACATGTGTATGGATAAATATTTAGAACAACCAGTTCAACACTCTTCTTTGAACTGATACATAATGAGAAGCAACAGATTTTTTTTTTCTATTCCCCACAGAGAACTGAGTACTGCTTTACATCTATATATAAGATATATGATATATTACATGTACTCCTAACTCCTTCCTATCTGGTATAGTGTTTGAAGTATGATTAAATGTGCTTACACTTGGGCAAAATAGCTTTTGAAAGCAGGAGCTCATGTTAGAAGTCCCTGGTTGTCTGAAAGGTAGGCTTTATTCGGTTTAACAGTGTTGTTTCAATCTGGTGAGAATGTCATGCTAATAATAGAATACTTTAAAAACATTAAGAGAATGTCCTAATGAAGTGTGCATGAAACATGTTGATGACTGCTCACGAGCAACAGAAATAAATCATTTCAAAAGTTGTCAGAAACCTATCCATGTCATCGTTGTTTTCTGCGAGGTTGTGTTACAGTGCAACTCCCAGACCTTTAACTGCCCGTAACTGCAAAGTGTCTGCTGGTACCATCTTAACTTCTCCAGTTTGTATAATGGTGTTGCAAGCTATTTGGGTTTTACCTCTGCCTGTTCCCACGGCACACAGCTGGTGAACCTTCACCAAAGCCACCCTGCGTTTGATTCTCAGGGTGGGTTGCTGGTGACGGTGCCCCAACTGTGCCGAGAGCCTGTAGTGCCTGTGGCTCTATGGGGTCAAAGACCTCTTTCCCCTTCTTAGATCTTTGTCTGGAAATGAGTAATGCCTTAAAAGCATGCGTAGTTCTAATCATCTCATCCTGTGTTTGTGATTGATGTTTGCCTGCCTAAATGTACAAACCGCCACTGTGTCCAAAGCGCAGCTATTCATGACTTAATTTTCTAATCCCACCACAGAGAAAGTGGCTCATGCCAAGGAAGAAAACCTTAGCATGCATCAGATGCTGGATCAGACATTACTGGAGCTAAACAACATGTGAAAACCTCCTTAGCTGCGGCCACATTCTTTCATTTTGTTTTGTTGTTTTGTTTTGTTTTTAAACACCTGCTTACCGTGAAACTCCTTAAATGCATTTTTGTTTACTTTTACCACTGTCACAGAACAAAGTACCGGCTAGAGCAGGGGGCGGGGAAAACACAAAGGCAAGCCTATGTCAGGGCGAGAATGGTTTAAATGTGCCATTTCCCAGGGCGATGTTGCCACACTTCGTAGCGTTTAGCCACACAGTTTGCTTAACCCGTATAGGAATCCTCACTGAATCAGAAAGATTTCCACTCACAGTGCCAACGATAGGGGCAACGGGAGGATGGATGTTGGAGACACAATCAGGTGTGGATTGGTGCTACTTGAAACAAAAGGTCCCCCTGTGGTCTTTTGTTCAATATTGTACAATTCAGAATTCTGTCCAACACTAATTTATTTTGTCTTACTACGAGATGAGACTTTGGATCCCAGATACCTGCGTTCACTAAGGCCAAGGGTTCGAAAGCCATGCTGCTCTTTTAAGGCAACGTCCTTTCTGACTGCCACACTTGCAGCTCGTTACAACTCTGTAGAGTAGAACTCCATGTGGATTTCCACTCTTTCCAGATCTCCATGTTAAAGTGAAAGATTTAGGCACTACATAAAATTGGTGAAGAAGAAACATTTTCTTAAAAATTATAACTATATGTAAACATTGTATAATGATGTGGAATAAAATGCACAGTTTAGGACATTTTCTAAATCTGGTGGTCCTGTCATTTGTATGTTTTTACTTCATAAACTTTAGACCTCGTCAAATTGACCTCCCCACCTTCACACAAGGTTTCTTTAAATGATACTCAGGAAACTGGGTCTCACGTGTTACCCTCACAGAAGGGCTGAAGATAGCATGATATTGGTCTTGTAAAGTTAATTCTTTAGCAATGACATATGTACACATCAACCAGGTGGGTTAATGTATCAGATTTGCTCTTGTCCCTGGGCACTTTGTTTCTACTTAAATGGATCTTTGTGATTTTTTTGTTTTCTAATTCTTACAAGTTCGAACTTTCAGTGCCTCTTCATTTTCATACTTCAGTTTCATACCATAGCCATCGGTTCCCTGGCTCTTGAAGACAACGAGCACACGCAAGTAAAATCTAAACACTAGTAGTAGACTTAAGTTGTGCTGAAGGGAGGAAAAAAAAAGATATCAAGAGTAAAGAGTAGAATGGAAATAAACTCACTGGCATCCAAGTGTGATCTTTTTAGGCAAAAGTACTAAATATCTGTAGCTGTTCTTTGTGTGCTTTTAATCATCTGTCTCCTCTGCAGGAAGACAGAAGCTTGAGGCAGAGAACCCAGCAGGAGTCTGGGAGCCTGGCTTCTAGACCCCATTTCCAGTAAGATGTCCCCTTGCCCAAGGCAAATAATTGCTGCAGGTCTCAACCTCACCACTATGTCACCAGCCCTGGTTTCCCCTTCTGGACATCATGTAGGGAAAGAAGGGCCTTGGCTTACCTTCGGTCAAAGAAGCCTTTACTGAACCCTGGACTTTTACTTTGGGAACTAGATCATTTCCACCCAGGACTGTACCCATCAAGGCCCTCAATCTAGGTTGCTATGGTGGGGACCAAATTGTAGCCCATGCAATGTGCACAGCACAGTGCCAGGCACCTGGGTGTGTTTGTAAATATCAGCCATGGTGTCCTCCATGTACAGTGCTCCAAAGACCACCTAGGGGGTACTTGATTCCCATTTGCCCCAAGTGAAGATGATAGTTAATACTCAGCATTTATATGTGAGCTGAGTCTGTATTCACAAGTGACATTTTTTTCTTTTCTGTACTAGAGATTGAACTCAGTACCTTCCCACTGAGCTACAACCTTACCCTTTTTTATTTTTTTATTTTGAGACACGGTCTCACTAAATTGCCCAGGACTGACTCAAACTTGGCATCCTCCTGCTTCAGCCTCCCAGAGTGCTGGGATTAAAGCACTGCATCACTGCTCCTGGCTGTGTTGTTTAAGCTTCACATCAGTCCTCATTTACTAACAGGCTCAGGGAGACCCAGTCAGCCTACTCAGAGTCCTCATCACTTGCAAGTAGTGTGTCAGGCTTCACCCTCTGGTCCATATGACTCATAAAGCCCTGTTTGGATTCTGCCACTTTTTGCCAAGATTTTACAGCAGAAGAAAAACAACTCGGTACAGATGGAAACAGCTGAAGCAGCAGGTACAATTAGGAGAGGAGGCTGAATAAATGTGTGTGGCATGTACTGTTCAGCGCAAGTGGCTTAACATTCAGCTTCTCTGGGTTCCAGAGATCCGATGGGGTCAATGAATTCTGCAGCATCATGCCAATTCGAAGAATGAGTGCTTGGCATTTCCGATCATGCAGAACAGCCCTGTCCCTGCCTGGCCCACACCTTGGGTCTGACCCAGTGTGATAACCTCCAAGTGGGCCGCCCTGTGAGGGCGGGGTGAGATTAGGTCTCCAGAATGGAAGGGCCACAGCTGGAAGCTGTTGGGGGTCCCCATTTAGAGACTCGTGAAGTATAAGAGGGGGAATTCAAGGTGCATATTCTGAACTCCATTGGTGAAACTCAGCAGGCCTGATTTCAGCACAGGAAGCTGGATCAGTTGCCCTGCTCGAAGTAAAATGGGTGGAATTCCAGAGAAAGGGTACAGGCAAGAGAATATAGCACCTTCAAAAAATAAAAAATCACGGTGAGCTTTTTGAAATCTTTTTTTTTTTTCTTTTTTTTTTTGGTACTGGGGATCGAACTCGGGTCCTTGGGCATGCGCAGCAGGCAGCAAAACCACTGAGCTAAATCCCCGGTCCACTTTTTGAAATCTTACAAAACAATTTGTGGGTACATTCTGAACTCTGTATGTGTGTGTGTTAGTAGGCATTAAACACAGGATCTCACCCATCCCAAGCAAGTGCTGTACCACTGAGCTACATCCCCAACCCTTTTAAAAAAATTTTTTTTTAAATTTTGAGACAGTTTCACTAAGTTACCCAGGCCAGCCTTAGACTTTTTTATCCTCATTACCCAGGCCAGCCTTGGATTTGTGATCCCCCCCGCCTCAGCCTCCTGAGTACCTAGAATTATATATATATATACATTGTGAACTTTTTGAGGCTGACACTGAAGAGAGCAGTGCCCCTCCCTACTCACTGCTCCTAGAGACATTGTTAGCAGAAACAAAATCCACTTTTTGTGTATGCTGGTATGTATCCTCCGGAGTTTAGTACATTAGACCTGATTTTATTTTCTCGAGAAAAATACATCTTTTTTACTTAAACAAATATTTGAATGTGTGTTAACCATTTTTTCAACTCGTCAGTGCTATTTATAGATGTAATGTTTTAAAAATCTGCACCAGATAAACGTACAAGGAAAAAAATATGATTTCTCCAATGAAAACAAAAAACATTAGTGTGTCCAGGGAGCCATCATTTCCAGAATTGGAGACAGAGGTTTGGAACAAAATTAGAAATGTCAGGCAGTGCAAGACATATTCCCTTCATTATGTATACTTTTTGACATTGAGGCTTTTCAGAGCTACATTCCTTCAGCAGCTGTCGTTAATTTTGTGTGTTACACAGTGAATGAAGCTATGTTGAGAGTTCGCTAATATGAATGTAACTTTGCCAAATTTTTGACAAATGGGTATCAACCCAGAGGATAAGGCTGGTGCTGGCTGCCTGTGAGAGTTTTATTTCCATTTGTTGCCAAGGCAGGAGAGAACAGAGTGGAGTCAGGGCCTTATCAGAGCCTGCGGAGGCCGAAGTGTGTCCCCTCTCCCACACTTAAGTGTTGATCCAGCGAAACACTGCCCGCATCACCAAGGCCAATGGGAAACGGGACCCAGAGGGATGAAGTGGCTTGCTTGTCTGAGGTGATGTATCCTCCTCCAGTCCTTTGTTCTTCAGTCCTGGGCTTCTTTCCCTCCCAATTTTGGCCCTTAGGGAAATTGAAAGTGACTGTTTTGAAATAAAAATCACCAGCACTGTAGCCCTGGAAGGCATTCATTCACGGCCAGGATACTCCATACAGAAAAGCATTGCTGGTTGGACAAGTGGCCTAGAAACAGGCATTAGTGACAGTTCCAAACTCATGAATCAGTGAAGCAGTGTATCAGTGAATCCCACAGGAGGTGAACAATGTTTCAAAAGTTACAGCTTGAAATTGTGCTTGTAAATAAAACACAGGCCCTTGAAAATGAGTTTCTCTTACCCCACTCCCAAGCTGCATTTGGATTTGCTGTTCAGCACAAGTGCCCAGAACACAGAGTGCTGCGTGTAGGCCTGCCTTGCGTGCCAAGGAAGGCACTTCAGCCTGAATTCCTTCTAGAGGAGCCATAAGGCAGGGCCCTGTGGAATCACCAGTCTCCAGAGCAGCTGTCCCCCCAGGGGTTGTCTGGGCACAGGTGGGCCAGAGGAATAAAGACTGCATCTCCTGCTGGATGCTACATGGAGCTAGGGGCAGGAGCATCAGCACGGCATGTAATGGTGAGTCCCGATCTGTTTCCCACTTTGGACTACTGCCTTTCCAGTGGAACATTTTTTGGACACATAAATCAACCATTAGACTCCCAAGTGCCTGCACTGGAATCGTGTAGCCCTCTGGTGACCCAGTGAGCTAGGTTATGATGGGCTGACCACATACTACTCATGTCCCATCCCAAGTTCACTTCCTCTGTGAAGACCACAGTGCCCAATAACACAATTGCCAAGGAATTATTTGAATCATGCTGTGGCCCAGGACATCGCTATCTGAAGTGAGCCCCATCACTGGGCCTAAAAGGATGAAGCTTTGTTGCTAAAAGCCCAGTTCCTCATAGAAATGGGAACCTGTCTCCACACTACAGGAAGGAGTTGTTTTTAAAGAGTTACAGGCTTCACAGGGAATGCTAGCTGCTAGCAGATCAGTGTGTCAGGAGCCCTGGGCAGCATGAAAGTGATTTAATTGCTGGCTTATTCAACTTGAAGACCACCACTGCCAGGATTTGTTTTCCTACTACAGTTGCTCTGATATTCCTTTCCAGAACACCCCAGGACTGACTGCTGAGCCCCTCTCTAAGAAATTAAAAAGGAATGAAGCCAGAATAATTTGTCTAGGAATAGGGTCACAGTGAATGTAAAAGAAATGTGCCTCCACCAATTGTTGCTGCTCTCTAATCCTGGGGAACTGCTCACCTGTTCAGTCACAGACCTTCAACTTGAAAACTGTGGAATGGCTCCCTTCTCCTCTGGCTTTCATTCTTCCCCAGCTACGACGTTTCCATTACTCCGATCATCTCTTCTGCTCATTCTCAGATGTGGAAAGGGCTTCCATATTATTTTCTGTTGACTAGAGACTATGTGGAAATCAGGCCTTAAGGGCTAAGAATTAAATTCCATTTCCATTTAAAAATAATTTACATTACTGTAGAGACTATAGATTGGGGTCTGGGGGATAATACAGAAAGAGTACAAAACAGACTTCTTGCACTCAAGGAATTTGTATAATCTAGACAAAGCAACTGAATATATGTGCACACACTAAGAATAGCATATGATCTCATGGCAAATTGGGAGTGAATGACACAGGTGTACACAGAGGACAGATGTGCCCACTTCCAGGAGGACTTTATCCACCCAAAGCCATGGGAGAGACTCCCTGAGGCGTGCAATGCATTTTCTCACAGGTGCTGCAGCCACGCAGGCAGGTCATGACTCACCTTTGCCTCTGAAATCATAGAAAAGAGCTTT